AGGGTTGTGTGTAGCTGCAGGGTTGTGTGTAGCTCCAGGGTTGTGTGTAGTGTTGTTGTTGTTGCAGATTCGTGCAGACTGACGGCGGATTATGGGGTCATGTGACGGCGCTGGAGGGGGGGAGGAGGGGGACGAGGGTCCGGCGGTTCCTGGAAGCGGAGCCGGGGGTTGATCTGTTCATGTGGAGCCCATTCATGTGCATAATGCAGAGTGATGGAGGCCCCGGAGCCCTGAGGGGCCCCAAGGTCCCGGAGCTGTTCAGACCAGTGACCCCTGAAGAAATGTTAACATCATGTTAGCTTTGCTCATTAGCCCCGACCGGCCCCTCACTGCGGGGGCCCGGCCTTCGTCCTCCTCCTCCTCCTCCTCTGGTCCTCCTCAGACACTTGACCCTCGCTTCACCTCCCTTCCTCTACTGACTTTTTCCTCCTTGTCTTGTGTCTCCGTCCGCGGCAGCCATCGACCTGATCAACAACCTGCTGCAGGTGAAGATGAGGAAGCGCTACAGCGTGGACAAGACGCTCAGCCACCCCTGGCTCCAGGTAGGAGGACCACCGGCTCACTTTAAAGCTGCACTCGTCAATGTTTTCACATTAACTCTGGATCAAGTGACTGCAGGTCATGTGAAAGAGGTCACTTCCTGTCCTCGCTGCCTCACATCAGTGTTTTGGTTTGAGCAGCAAGAATCTCGCTGTTCTGACGAGTAGCAGAGGAGCTGCTGTTGTTCTGTGTCCTGACTGTGAAGCATTGGTTCATTATCAGATCATAACGATAACGATGAATGTTTTATCTGATTCAGAGTTTGTTATTGACCCTTTACAGCTCTCATCATAACTTTATTCATTCAGTTTACAGGTTGGACGTTTGTGTTATGACCTCGTAGCGCCGCTGGTCCAGCAGGTTGAAGCTGCAGCAGCTTCCAGCAACTTATCCAGAACCTGCACAACTGTAGAATTTTCTTGTAATTATCGTACAATTAAAAGAAACAACAGTTTTGTAATTACAGGACATAGTTTCATAATTACGTTATTTAGAATTATAACCTCAAGGTCGGTGATCTGGTTCTAATTTGTCTCATATTTATGAAACACCTGCTTCAACTTAAATGTCTGAAATCATTCCATTATTACGAAGGATCTTGTTCCATCATTATTTATTCTGTTTATAATAGATGTTCCTGCTGACACTGTAACGCTCTCATCATTATCGGTGTTTTCTCCGGTACATGAGCCGAACTGTACCAGTTCCAGCAACATGCAGCTTCCAGCAGCTTATCCAGGACCTGCATCAAAATCCTTATTGTCACCAAAACATAGTGTTGTAGCTGCAAGATAAGCTTTTATAATCATAATTATCACAACATAAGATAACCTCGTATTTAATCTGCTGATAATTCTGAAGTCCGTGTTTTTATTGTCACAGTTTGTAATATTTAAGACACTGTGCAGTTATTTTATTATGAACCTGTCAGTAGCATGAAGCTCTTTTAGGTTTTGTATTTATTGCTTTTGCAGACGACAGTCCAGGAGCTGAACATCTCAGTTGTTCTGTTTAGTGACTCAACGGCTGAAGCTCAAGATTTCTGTTGGGTTTTTTAAAGACCCTTTACTCTCTCTGGCCCAGATGTGTCTCTCCTAGCTTCTTCTTCTTGCTCTTGTTGTTGTTGTTCTTCTTCTTCTTATTATTATTATTGTTGTTGTTATTGTTATTGTTATTGTTATTATTATTAATAATTGTTGTTATTATTATTATTTTTATTGTTCTCCTTGTCCTTGCTCGTCTCCTCCTCCTCCAGGACTACCAGATGTGGCTGGACCTGAGGAACCTGGAGTCTCGTATGAACGAGCGCTACATCACCCACGAGAGCGATGACCTGCGCTGGCACCACCACGCCCAGCTCAGCGGCCTCGACTACCCGTCGCACCTCGCCAACGGTCCCCGCGGCGACGGGCCCGGCGTGGAGCGCTACCAGGAGCAGGAGGAGGAGCTGGAGACGCTCAGCGAGAGGGTCAGCGAGCTGTGAGGACCAGTTCCTCCACCGAAAACAACGAATGTAAGAAAATGACAGAAAGCACAAAATGGAAACGAACCAGGAGACGTTCAAAGATCGCTTCAGTCCAAACTTCTACTAAAGAACCCGTTAGAACAGGTTCTAGAGACGGCGAATGATGTTCTGCTTCAGTTCCTCCTCCTCCTCTCACGCTGCATTCACTGATGGAAAAGATCAGAGTCACCACCTAAACCACACCAATACTTTAGTTTGAAGCTGAAGCAGAAGCAAGGATCTCCGTCAAGCTAAGATCCTTATTTCTGAGTTACTTTATCCTGTTATGAGGATTTATTTTGTCTCTATTCACTTATTTATGACTTTTTTATTATTATTGCGAGTCGTTATTTTTTACCGTCGCTGTTCTGTTTTGTCGTTTATTTCTTCTGTGGTATTTATCATGCATGATAAACAACTCACGGCTCCTTTTAATTGACAAAACGAGAAGCTTTTATTGTACGATACTGAATGTTTTTCTTTAGTGACTGCAGTGAGTTTCATTCTTTAAATCTCCTCCAACATTCGTTCATCAGAGACCAAAAACTGCACATCTTTGAGACAATCAGTAAAATCAAGTTTGATATTCTCTCTACGATCTGAACAAAGCTGCCCTGAGCCTCAGAGGATTTTTATACAATCACTTTATTATATGTAGTGAAGTCATGTGAGTTTGCCTTCAGACGGTGAATATGTTCCAACAAAAAGAGGTAAAAAGGTAAAACGGTCTAGAACAGGTTCTGACTAACCACCATCACACATGCTGATATGAGCCTGGAAAGTTTACCCAGAACGCACTTTGTAAAGTATCCTCTGGTGAATGATCAGAACCAGAAGAAGCTTCTTTAGTCTGATGAGACCAAAATGGAGCTTTATGTCCATTAGACCATCACCACTGTGAAGCACGGTGGTGGCAGCATCATGACGTGAAGCACGGTGGTGGCAGCATCATGATGGGGGAATGCTTCTCAGCAGCAGCCCTAAAGGTCTAAAAGTCCATTAAAGTGATCAGTCTGGACCCTCCTCTGTGGACTTCAAGGACCTGGACCTCTGGAACATTCACAGTCTGAAGGTAGAACTCTGGTCAGTAGATAAAGGTGCTGCAGATCCAGAACCAGATGTTCTGAGGAGGTTTGACTGATGGATTTTTCATGAAATGACTCTGAGGCGACGACAAACAAGATTTCCAGGCTTCCCAGTTTGTGCCTCAGTGTGATCGTTCTTCGACTTTTCGCAGGAGATTTTAGTGAAGTTGTGAAAATAAGCCAAAGCTTTTATGGAGACTGAAGTCAATCACCAAACAGGGAGCAGATCAAAACCCTTCGAGTGTTTTCAGATTATTTCGCCACTTCTACGGCAGCACGGAGGGCTCAGACTTCCTCTCAGCGTTGACTCTGTGCAGACTGAATGTTCAAACACCTATAAGAGAATGTACAGTGAACATAACAGCAGCTCTAAGCTTCTCAGTGAACCTGACAAAGACTTTTCTGTTGCTTGTCCTGATTTAAACGTCTTCTGTTGATGATATTTAATCAAAGCAGCTCAACGTCACGACTCAGATGCAGTTCGTTCTGTTTTCTTTGCAGTCGGGAGTCGGTTTTGTTCCAACGAGCGATGTTCCACCATCGTGAATGTGATCTGTGGTGTTTCAGGCGCCTGTGGAGCATTTTGGAATGAAAATCCTCAGTCACTTGAAACAAAACCAAAAACCAAACGATGTCGGTCCGTCGGTATCCTACTGCTTCTGGTTCCCGACAACAAACAGAACTATTTGGTGTTTTTGCGTCGCAGAAGTTTTGGTTTGAAGGCCCGTCTGCACAAAACATCACAAAAAGAGTGTTTTTAAGCATGACGTGTCCGTTCTCAGTCCGCCAGGTGAGCTGAACACCTGGACGCTACGCAGTGTCTTCTGTCAGCGCTACGATTGTTCGTTTCTAAGCACAAAGTGAAACCCAAATACACCCTGTTCTGGTTCTGTATGGGACAAAACAGGAGGTGGAACCCAGCAGCTGATCCAACAGGAAGAATGTTTAGTTCATTTCGATAAAGTTAGCTAATGCTAGCAAGATAGAAACGTGTTTTCATCGCACGCTTTGTACTTGAAAAAAATACAGCAAACCGTTTTAATACTAACGTCTGAATGGACCTGTGCTGCAGACGTCTATAGTTCAACAATCAAACTTTTCAGAGCTCCACACGTCACTTTTACCTTTTCATACGTTTCCAGAAATCTGCAGCTGAGCTACTCAAACTCGTGGAAGTTTACGAGACCAACGTTAGAGAGTCGGAGGTCCTGAACCTCCTCAAGAGTCTCTGTCATGGTCCCGTTGCTGCTAAACTCCCACAATGCTCTCTGCTGCCACCATGAGCTGTAGTCTGAGTGACGCCTCCTCTGGTCTCTACAGGATTAAACAGTGAGAGGCTCTACCTGGTGGAACAACCGGGTACTACAGCTGGTCTATGATACTTGAAAAACTAATTATCTAGTAAATGTTATCAGATTGGACTTATTACTGGCAAAAACTAAATATTAAATAACTCTAACTGAATCAGGATAAAGTTGAGCAGGACATCCTGATCTGCAATTATTATTCTGACTGTTACAAAACTAAAGCGCAGATATTTCTATCTGTGGTTTTAACAGGTCAACACGTCGTTATAGAGACCGAGCACAGAGTCTGATGAATGGTGTCTGCAGACTTTATTCTGAAGAGGCCAAACCCTGGTACAGATATCTCTAAAGATCTCAGAATGATGAAATTTATAAATCAAAGCAGTGACGAGTGGCAGTGCAGTTAGACAAAATTACGTCGTTATGTGGAGTTTTAGTTCTAATCTCAGCCATTAAACAGCTGCTCTTTATTCTCTCATCCACGTGTAAATAATGTTTTATGTCGTTTAAACTGAGATGTTTTTCCCCTTTAAAGTGTATATTTTTAAAAACTGCCATTTATGCTCATCCAGAAAAATCTGGAAACCAAAAATATTACATTGTTGTTGTTTTCTGTGATGATCAAAAGAACACATGAGGGGTTCGGCCTATGGAGGTGTTTGCTCTGATGTTGGTTGTGTTGTGGTCCAACATTCATCCCATGAAGGGGAACCACAGCCGGTGGAGGTGAATGTGTTGGTATCCATAGATGTTGGTGGTTTATCAGTCAAACAGCCACATCCTGACCTCCTCCCATGCAGAGCCTCAGCAGCTGTACCGGTTCGATCCAGACCACTGGTTCTGATCTGGACTAAGGGCTGTTTCCTTCAAGCCTCGTCTTCTTCGTGCCTCTTCTCTGAAGCTGACGTTTCAGTTTCACACAAACGCCGTCCTTCGTTTGTTTTCTGCATAAAGAGGCGTTTTTTCTGTATCAGTACTCGTTTCCTGATCGACTGTGTTTTATGGGCTGTAAAGGTTCTGGAAGAGCAGCTACAGTCTGACAGACTGAGCAGGAAGCTGAAGGCTTCACCGATTTAACTTCACGTGTTCATCGGTTTGAACTCAAGTCTCTGTGAGTTTGAATTTCAGATCCAAACATGTACAAATCAAACCCCACCGACTGCACTGCCCACGTCTGAGTTCATCCACAGACATCAGGTGTAAATATCAGCCCGTCCCATGAAGTTTACTCAACAACAGGTCAGTTGGAGACTCAGTTTGGTTCCATTTAAACTTATAAAAGTGAATCTTTCTAAATGTCAAGATGTCAGAACAACAAGGGCTTCTATCAGACTCCATCAGACTATGAAGATGAGCAGCTGCTGGTGGGTCACTACCCTGGAGATGTACGGATCCTGCCAAGAAATATTCAACCTGCTTTCATTCCCACAGCGTCAAATACTGCTGCTCTGTCTTCAGAAGACAGACATGACGCCCCCAACAAAAGATGTTCCACCATCAGCTGTAGAAAGATGTTCCACCATCAGATGTAGAAAGATGTTCCACCATCAGCTGTAGAAAGATGTTCCACCATCAGCTGAATGTATCTCCAGCAACTGGCTCCTCTGGTCTCTGGTTCTGATCCAGGCTGCATTTATTTATTGATCCATTGGTTGTATTTTCACTGCCTGCTGTTGGAGGTTTTAGGTTCAGAGGGCTGAAAGAACCTTAAAATCCTTTATTTATTTTTCCCCGTTTGGTTCCATTCAGGAGAAGGATCTTGGTTTGTGGTAAATCCATCTTATTTCAGTCACAAGACAAACTTGTCTTCACCTGAAAAGCAGCAACAACACCAGCTGAGAACATCTGTCGGTTTCTGGTGTTTGCAGGTTTTTATACGTCTAAGAACCCGACACTTTGATGAACATCTGCTCCCGATGCAGCAGCAGCAGTTGAGATGTTCTGGGAATGGAGGCGGGTTCAAATGTTCCTGAATGTAAACCCTGAAGATCTACAGCTGATGGTTCTACACTGTTCTCTGTGTGCTGATGATATATTTGCTGTTTTCAACCTTTGACTGTACGTAGAAGATGGAAGCAGCTGCTGGTTGAGAGTTTTTATAGTTTACGGAAACCAAACATTACGAGTGTTTCATTATTTTATTATCTGTTTTCCACTAAATGGAACCATAACGTACTAGAACACCATCACGCCGTGTGAAGGAGACCTGGACCTAGAGCCTGAGACCATCAGCTGGTCAGAAGATGATCAAACTGATTCAGTGACACGAAAACAAAACGATAAAACACAAAACAAGTTAAAGAAACATTGGACACAAATTCAAATGAATAAGAACCAAACACGCAGTAGAATAAGATAAAATCGTTAACTCAAGTCCAGTCAATGCATCAGAGCGCCCTCTAGTGGAACATTCATGATGTCGAATGAAATGAACCGAACAGGTTAAAGTACTGAGGTTAAGACCCTTCAGTGTTATTTAAGGTGTGACTTTACACCAGTCATTCATATAAGGGATTAAAATACTACAAAATACTACAAAATTCCACAAAATTCTATAAAATGCCACAAAATTTTACAAAATTCCACA